GGGGGGGTCGGAAAAGAAAGGGGGCATTACGATTAGCATGTATAATGTGGGGGGGAGGGTACGGGGAGGGCTGTGCAACACAGAGAAGACAAGTAGTGATTCTACAGCATCCTACTACGCAGATGGACAGTGACTGTAGTGGGGTATGTCAGGGGGACTTGGTGATGGGGGGAGTCTAGTAGACATCATGTTCCTCATGTTACTGTAGATTAATTATACCAAAATAAAAATAAAAAAACAAAAGAAGCTGCCTCACCGTGGCCCCTGCAGCCAAAGCCCTCAGGACCTCAGGAGAGAGACCAAGCCCCCAGGTACACAGGGGATGCGGGGAGGGCTGGGGGGAGCAGCCACACAGATGCAGGACGTGCGGTGCTGAGACTGGAAAGCCCAAGGCGATCCCCAAGGAGGCAGTCAGCCTGACCACCAGCCAGTGACTCACGCACACTCGAAATCTGAATGTCCTCTAAAACAGGTAAAATGAAGTTACTAGCCAGGTAAGCAAGTCCTATGGGGAAGACAAACGCAGATAATCAGCAGCCGTTCACAGAGGGTGAACACCTCAGAAATATCCAGCCACTTACCAACATACACCTCGTGTCTGTTTTCTTGATGCCTAAGAAGAAAAAAAGCATTAAAAAGGCAGACATAAGGCTGGAGGATTCAGAGGAGTTAGAACACGTGGTAAGTGACACATTTTCTTCAATGTAAAATACAGACACGCACACAGCCCCCTGCAAACATTCCTCCTCTTGTGAACAGCGAATGGTTAAACAGCACTCAATCGCTCAGCAGGTACTTATCAATGTGTGGAAGTAGCCCAGGGTAAGCACTGGATGGATAAATCACTGCCATCAAGGGTGAGAGTTGGGTGGGAGGATAGAGAGTCTACAGAGCACTAGGAAACCAGTGCTTTCAATGAGGTGTTACGAAGAGTTTCAGCACCAAAGCTGGCCTGTCTCAGAGTAAACATTAAGCTGAAGGGTATCAGGCAGAGGGAGGCACACGTGCAAAGGCACGGAGATATGGGAAAGGCTGGGCACGTCTGAGAACTGCGTGTAGTGAGGAAAAGCTAGCCTGTGTGCTACATGTGGGTCAGCAGTGAGAGAGGAGGTAGGCAAGGCCAAAGTATGAAATTGCCCCCCAGCATTCACAGCCTATTCCAGTGGCAGTAAGAAGCAGGTGAAGGGTTTTAACCAGAGAGCTGACATCGATAGAGATGGCTTTTAGAAAGATGCCTTTGCAGGTGGGGGAGGGTGCACTGGCAGAAGGTATGAATGACTTAAAGAGAAGCATGGGGTTAGCAGTGAATGCAACAGGGCCTGAGGGTCTGCACTGTGGCAGTGGCATGGGGGGTGCATTCCATGTAAAAGGAAACATGGTGGCTGAGTGGAGCAAGAGCAGAATCTAGGTGGACCCCAAGTTTCATACTTGAACAAAACTGAGTACATTAATGGGGATCCAGATAATAGACTGAGGGTCCCAATATTAATCAATCCTCCAGGCTAACTCACCTGGAGATTTCTGCTCCTCCAGTGCTCCATTCTTCCCGAATAGTCTGTCAGAGAAGGTCGGCCATTGCTGCTGCTCCAGGACCTATCAAACACAGGTCTCAGCATCATACCTCCTAAGCCCAAACTCTGACAAAAGGAGTTTGGGCATAAGAAGGGCCCTGCACCAGCCTCCACACCCGCTTCTTCCTCCTAGTCTCAGGTTCCAAGCCAGGAAGCCCTCCACTGGACCTTCTGAATCACTAATAGTTAAAAGCACATTTAGGGTTCACCTCAACAGGTGAGAAATGCTGAGGGTGACTCCTAAATTCTGGGCATGGGGAGGAACAGAAGGGCTGCAGGGGTGGAAGGAGGCTTGTTCATTTAAAAGGAAGTGACTTACATACTTCAACTTCTTCCCAATAGGATATCCTGCAAAGCCAACCAGCCACATTTAGAGGCATGCCTGGATAACTCACCCTTTATTACACCACTACCAAATAGGTACTGCGGCGGGCGGGTTAACTTCCCCCTCCAAAAGCCCCCACAGCGACCCTCATCCTAATCCTCAGAACATACTAACAATTCTGGTCTCCTATTCCAATGAGGGGGCGAGAGCTGCGAAGTGTTTGTAGGTGGTCTGATGTTCCACACCACCAAAGCTCCCGTCCCACTATTCAACTCATTTCTGACACTCTCTACCCGGAGATAGCATCAGATTCCGCAGGTTAAGGGGCTCAGTCCCACCGGACTGCCCCACCTTATGACACCAGTCGCATGCAAGCCCAAGCTATCACCTGTGCTTCTGACCCACTGGATATACACTAGAGGTTCACACAACCCCTTCTTTGGGTTCAATCAATTTGCTAGAGCGGCTCACTGATCTCAGAGAAATATTATAAAAGGACCAGCCAGATAGCAGAGATGCAGAGGGAACGGCCCTGGGAGAGGACATGAAGCTCCCGCGCTCACCTGCACCACTTTCCCAGCACCTCCACATGGATAGCACCCCCGCTCGCCAAACCCTGTTCTTTTGGGTTTTCCCAGGGGCCTCATTACACAGGCATGACTGATTACATCTTTAGCCATTGGTGATTGAATCAATCACCAGCCCCGCCCCTTCCCTCCCTGGGAAGAGGGGTGGGCATTGAAAGTTCCAACCTTCTAATCACAGGGGTGGATCCCTAGCATCCGGCCCCCAACCTTAGTTTACCAGGCGCTTTCCGAAAGTTGCCTCATTAACATAACAAAAGACACTCCCTGCTCTCATCACTTAGGAAATTCCAAGGGTCTTAGCTCTGTGGGGGGGGGAGGGAGAGGGAGGACCAAATTATGTTCCTTATTATAAAACACAATAATATCACACTTAGGTGTATGTTTGGTGACATGCAAGGGGGAACTGAAGTTGCAGACGGAGTTCAGGTTGCTAATCAGCACCTTATGGGTAGGCCTAATACAACCACAGTAGTCTTTAAAAATGGGAAATGAAGGCAAAAGAGAGGGTCAGATAGAGATGTGCCAACAGACCCAAGTAAAGCAGTGCACTAAGAAAACTGCTCCGCTGTTGTCGGCTTCGGAGAGGGCCATGGACCAGGAAACACAGGCAGCCTCTAGAAGCTGGAAACGGCCAAAAAATGGATTCTCCCCTCGGGCCTCCAGAAGGAATGCAGCCATGCAGACACCTTGATTTTAGCCTGTGAGACATGTGTCAGACTTCTGACCCACAGAACTGTAGTTTGTGTTGTTTAAGCCACTAAACAACTGGTAATTTGCCACGGCAGTAAACAAAACTAGTACAGGTGCCATGAGCAACTTGAAAACCACACCCACCTCTACACAGTAGCAGCCTGTGGATAGAAGAGTGGCCGGTGGCTTGGAGTTGGACAGATGCATCTGAGTCTGGCCCAGAGACCTTGGACCCATTCTATCTGTCAAATGGGAATCAAAAACCTAGGCCACAGATCATGAGGGTGAAGTGAGATACTTGCCTGGCAGGAAGGGCTCAACAAATGGTAGGCATTGTGTTTATTTACAGATTTGATTAGCACTGTCCAGTGAGCCTGTGGAGTCTTATCTTACCATTTCACAGATGGGAAAGGCAAGGCTCAAGGACATCAGAAGATTTGCTTAAGATAAAAGACACTGAGGAAACTCAGGTCTGTGACTCCAAAGCTTTGGTTCTTTTCCTACAGATAAGAAGCCTGTCCAAGTCGTTTTAAAAGGATTTTTTTTTTCTTTACTTTAGGAGAAACACAAATTAAAACATTAAATTTTAAAAGAAAATGGTAACTCTTCCCTCTAAATTGTTCCCAGCTGTGGGAGGAAACAACAGCTTTAGCAGCAACTAAATTTAAATAGAACTAAAAGTAGTTAAGATAATTAAAAGACTTAGGTCTGGATGAATAAAAATAGATTTATGGGCAGAATCAGGACTATGGGTGTAAATCCCAGTTTCCTGGTGATCCCCTCAAAAGGCTTCCTGAATAGGGCAGGGCACCAACATCTGCAAGCAAAGGCCCAGCTTTAGAAGATGGCTTTAAAAGCCAGCCAGGTGCAGTGCTAAACAGCAAATACTCATTGTCTCATTTAATCCTCATGAAAATTCTAAGAGCCAGGCATTACTGCTCCATTGTGCAGATGAAGTCCTGGAGGTTCAGAGCCAATAACCTGGTAATTTGTCCAAGATCACATAAACTAAGCTCATAAATGGAGAAGACTGTTTTTTGAATCCAGACCATATGACTCCAAAGCCATGAGCTTCCACAGTATTGCTCAGTCTGGAAAAGTATCTTGTGCTTTCAAAAAAGACAGAGAATATATATAAAGAACTTGTACAACTCAGTAACAAAAAGACAAATAAGCCAATTAAAAAGCCAATGATCTGAGAGACATTTCTCCAAAGATATATATATACTACAAACGGCCAGTAAGCACATGAAAAGATGCCAACATCTTTAGCCATGAAGGAAATGCAAACCGAAGCCACAATGATCAGTGATCCCACCTCACCCTTACTAAAGGGGCTACAATTAAAAAGATAGACAATAACAGGTGTTGAGGATATGCAGACCTGGGAACAGTAATATTGCAGGTAGGAATTTAAAATGGTACAGCCACTTTGGAAAAGTTTGGCAGTTTCTCAAGAAGTTAAATAGAGAATTCCATGTTACCCAGCAACTCCAATCCTTTTTAGCTCCCCACTAAAGATGAAAAATTAAAACCTATGTCTACACAAACACTTGTTCACAATGTTCATAGCAACCTTGGTTCATAATAGCCAAAAAATGGAAATAACCCAAATGTCCATCAATTGATGGATGAATGGATAAAAAAAACATTGTAGATCCACATAATGGAATACTATCTGGCAATATAAAGGACTGAAGTATTGATGCTACAACGTGGATCAATATCAAAAGCACAATGCTAAGGAGAAGCCAGACACAAAAGGCCACCTATTGTATTACTACATTTATATAAAAAATTCAGAATAGAGAAATCTGTAGAGACAGGAAGTAGATTAATGACTGCCCAGGGGTGGGGAGAACAGAGGAATAAGTGATTGCTAATGGACAGACAGTTTCCTTTAGAGGTGATGGAAGTGTTCTAAAGTTAGATTGTGGTGGTGCTACTGTAAATATACTAAAAACCTTTGAATTGTATATTTAAAATAGGTGAGTGTTACAGTGCATAAATTATATCTCAATACAGTCTTCTTTTTTTTTTTAATCAAGACACATTTCCAAGAATGACCAGAGTAAGTAAACATGTCTTTTGCCATTCCATTTAACAAACCACCACTCACATAAATGAAGCCACTGGGTGGGCAGGATCATGGCTTGTGCGGATATTCAATGCATTGCACAGGCCTCTGCAGCATGTTTAGTTTTTAAAGCTAATAAAATTTTTAAATTTATTTGCAAGGGAGGGGGATGGCAGAGCATCTTTTAATGCAAAGTGCCCCACAGTTCTGCACAAAGTATTCCCTGTGTGCACAGATTTAGTCGATGCTATCCCATTCCCACCCACCACCCCACCAAAAATTTCTGCAGACTCACCTGGAGCAAGCACGTGATCAGCCCCGGGGGTAACTGCGCACCCTGCCACCCGAAAGTGGAAACCAGAGGTGCAGTTTCCACAACTGCTCCACAGAGTCCCTGTCCCCTCCACCCCTCGCCCGGTGGCCTGGGGCCTGGAACCAACAAGCGGTACCCCGCCAGTGGCGTCCAACCGCAGCGCGGACGCCGAGCCTTCGCGCCTACTCCGTTCGCGCTCCGCCTCCGAGACCCGCCGGGCGTGGGGCGGAGCCGCCCGCCGCAGCCAATCCCCGCCGGCCGATGCCAGCAGTGAGCGGGGAGCTGGGTCCTGGGAACGCCGCGCGACGCTCTCGGGAGGGTAACTGCCTGAGCGCGGGTGTGGGCGCTGCCTCTGCCTCCTCCTAGTAAGCACCACACACACAACAAACTCAAAATTTGTAGAGGGAGTGTAGTGCTTGCACGGGGCGCGCTCGACTCTTTCGGAAGCGGAGGGCTTTCCCTCCTGGGTGCACGTGGCACGTTCTGGGCTAGTTTGAAGGCATCGCCGGGCCCAGACCGCCTCGATGCAGATGGGAAGCTCTGTATGCGAAAGTAGGGGGCTCCAGGCACGCGGGCGCAGCCGATCAGCACGTGCAGCTGCTGCTACCTTCCGCGAGCGTGCACCCCCGGGCCCGCCTCTGCAGAGGGGCTGGCCCCGGCGCCCCCGGATCTGGGCGGGAGGTGGCGGCCTGGGAGGCGCCAGCCTCGGAGGGGAGGGGCGTGCCGAGGGGGTGGGCCGCCCGCCTCGGTCCACCGTCCGTAGCTGCGCCGGGGACACTCCCGCCGCCTCCGCGCCGTCCCTTCTGGTCCCTGGGAGCGTGGGCAGGGCTGTCCCGGGGCTTCCGTGGGCTCGGCCTCTCCCACTTCTGGAGGAAAAAGCAGGGGAAGCCCCCCAGCGCCCGCCGCCTCCGGAGAACTGCGGAGCCCCCCAGCCTTGCAGGCGCTGAAGACGAGCCCGGGCGGGGCCTCGGGGCGTCGTGCCCGTCGCCGTCCGTGTCCGGAACGGCAGCCCGCGCCCGCCCGCTCGGCGCCCTGAGCCCCCCGCCCCGGACTCTAGGGGCCCCACCCTGCCGGGCGTGGGCGACGGCCGGCGGGGGACGCGCGGAGCAGCCGTCCCGGGGCCTCGCCGCGGCCGCCAGCGCCCCAGCCTCGGGGAATGCAGTGGACCCCGGCCCCTGGCGCCACTCCGTGTCTGGGCTGGGCCTCCTCGCTCGCCTGCTCCGCGGCCACGACGCTCCTGATGGCGGCCAAGTGGTTCAAGGAGTTCCCCCTGAACCTGAAGACCGTGTCGGAGCGGGCCAAGCCCGGCGGCGGCGGCGGCGGCAAACTGCGCAAGAACTCGGAGGCGGGCAGCGCCGGCTCGACCCCGGGCAAGGGCCGCAAGAACTCGGCGGCCGAGCTGGGGAGCGGCAGGGCCGGCGTCGGCCCCCCCAAGGACGGCCGGCTGTCCCGGGACAGCCTGCAGGGTCTGATTCAGGCCGCCGCGGGCAAGGGGCGCAAGAACTCGCGGGCCACCGAGGAGGAGCCCCACCGGGGCGCGGCCAAGAGCTCGGGCTGCAGCACCTACATCAACAGGCTCATCAAGGTGGACACGCAGGAGAAGAATGGGAAGAACAGCTACCCGAGCAGCGACAGCAGCAGCTGCTCCTCCTCCGCGTCCTCCTCCCCTTCCTCCCTGGGCCCTGGCCTGGACAAGGGCAGGAGCGTCAAGCAGCAAGACACGGTGAGGATACGGCCTCCCGCGGACCACCTACCCGCAGAGGCAAAGCCGTGGGAAGCGAGCGTAGGGACCCTGCTCGGCCTAGGGTTCTGTATACCCGAGAAGGTGACAGTGTGTTTCCCCCTCTAACATTTGGTGACTCCTAAGTGACCATTTAAAATCATCAGATTTTTTTTTTTTATCTTAAAATCTTCATTCTGGGATTGGGAAACTTTACAGAAATGCATTGTCCGTTTAGCTTTGTTAGTTTAGAAGAGTAATTGAATAAGACATTACTGCTTTGTTAAATTTGACCACCTTATAAATGTAGTTTATTTTAATTTCAAAATCCAGGGGGGATTGCAAACCTAGACTTGGGTATAACTTTTATCCTGTTTGAGCATAAGGAATGTTAACGTCTAAATTGTTAAAGTATGGGTTTCAAAGCTCCAGGGAATGGGTGGCCTCACCCTGCCCCCTTTCTCTGCTGGTTTGGAAGCTCTATCAT